CAAAGCTATGGTTTTTCCAGTAGTCATGTATGGATGCGAGTTGGACTATAAAGAAAGCTGAGTGCTGAAGAATTGATGCTTTTGAACTGTGGTGTTGGAGAAGACTCTTGAGAGTCCCTTGGACTGCAAGGAGATCAAACCCGTCAGTCCTAAACGAAATCAGTCCTGAATATTCATTGGAAGGACTGATGCTGAAGCTGAAACTCCGATACTTTTGGCCACCTGATGCGAAGATGACTTACTGGAAAAGACCATGATGCTGGGAAAGATTGAAGGCAGGAGGAGAAGGGGACGACAGAAGATGAGATGGCTGGATGACATCATTGATGGACATGAGTTTGAGTAAGCTCCAGGAGTTGGTGATGGATAGGGAAGCCTGGGGTGCTGCAGTCCATGGGTCGCAAAGAGTCGGATATCACTGAGCGACTGAACTGAACTGAGCCTCACCTGTGCAGAGAGACACAGGATGGAACGGGCTTGCTCCCTGCACTTTCTCAGCCCTGCATGACTCTGTCCATGGTCTGGGGGCAATGCAGCGCTTCAGCCTTTAACAGGGCATGTGCACCGACTCTGTTTACCATCTGAAGGCTCTGGGTATTGCTGGGAGGTGTTGCCAGGAACATGTGTGTTCCTGAGAGCAGCCCATTCAGTGATCGTGCAAATGCCAAGACCCAGGTTCAGGGCTGGGACTGGGTGTCCTGAGGGCAAACAGCCAGCTAAATACAGGCAGCTGACCCTGCACATGGGGCTCAATTTTCTGAGCCCTGAAATAAACTTCCAAGGTTTCTCCTTCAACTAGACACTGGGACGTGGGCCTCAAGGCTACTCCCTGGCGAGGCAGGGTTGGTGGGTATGTGTGTGTGTGTGTGTGTGAGTGTGAGGGTGGCAAGGCTTGCTCACCGCCAGGACACGGCTGCTAGTTTTAACACAAACATCACCAGCTCACTCACAGATCCCCACATCCCAGGAGCCACGCCAACCATGACCAATGGCCTCTGAACTGAGACACCACCATAAAGCCACTGACTAGAGATGGCCTCCACGGCTCCCTTGAAACAGCGAAGCACTGTCTCCTCTTCCCTTCCTGTCCACACAGAGTGTTCTGGGGAGTTTTAACTTAAACCCTCAAAGAGAATGGGCTCGCTCAGAAACTGGATAATGTCCTTCTGGGCAGATGAGAAGTGGTGGCCAACTTTCCCCGTGTCAGCTCCTTAAACAAAAGGCAGTCTCACCTCACAGGGTTGATATTCATAAGAAAAGGAAGCTAATTTATTTTGGTCTCTGGCTTTTGTATTTTCCAATACTTTGGCCATCTGATGCGAAGAGCCAACTCATTGGAAAAGACTGATGCTGGGAAAGCTTAAAGGCAGGAGGAGAAGGGGGCGACAGAGGATGAGATGGTTGGATGGCATCACTGACTCAATGGACATGAGTTTGAGCAAGCTCTGGGAGATGGTGAAGGACAGGGAATGTTGGCGTGCTGCAGTCCATGGGGTCGCCAAGAGTGGGACATGACTGAGCGACTGAACAACTGGCCTTTGAAAAAATCAAACTTAAAAGGCAGATTCCGGGGCCAGGAGACACGCGCAGCTGACAAACAACGCCATGCTATCTATCTGGTGCTCCTGTCACCTTTTTTCTCTCCTTTTCAAGTTCCTCAGCCTCTCTTTGCCAAACCGTCTTCATGTCAAAGTCGAAGGGGCCCATTCTGGACTCGAAGTTGCCAGTGGCCTGATGGGGGTTAAACTCTTCATAAACCATGTAATCGGGTATGGACACAGCAGGGACCCTGCAGAAAAAGAGGGGAGGGCCCGCCAGCCGCTCAGGGTCACTTCCGGATTCCCCCCTCCCCCGCCCCACCTGGTACCGACCTTCTCCCGGCCCCGCCCACCCCCACCCCACCCCTCGTTTTCTCGGCTCCTCCTTCAGCCAGGATAAAGCTCCAACTCTCAGCTGCAGGAAAGGAGGAAGGGGAGGGGCTGAGTTGAGCAGTGGAGGGAAGGGAGGGAAGAAGGGAGGGGAAAGAGTGCAGGGGCGTGGCGAAGCCTCCCGCACGCGGGGCCCAGGAGAAGCTGGGCAGTCGGCAGAGCGCCAGGATGCCCGGGAGGGTGGGAGAGAAAAGGGCTGCAGGAGGCTGCAAGGAGGCTGCAGGTGGGGCGGCCGGGAGCGAAGTCAGAGGCTGGGGGTGCCAGGCTGGGCGGTGGCTGCAACGCGGGGGTCAGGATACTCACTGTCTCTGGTCTGCCGTCGGCGGCTTGCTGTGGTGGATGTACCAGTCTGGCAAGGAGTAGGCCACCGGGGAGCCCTTCGTGGTCCCGGGGGCAAAGTGCTTCAACAGATCTCGAAGGCAAAAAGACGCAGCGGTGAGCATCACCGTCCCCATCGGAGTCTGGGCATCACCAGCCAGCAGGTCGCTGCTGACACGGGAACTGGGCTTCCTCCGAGGCTCTTTGACTGGGCTCGGAGGAGGGGGTTGGGGGGGACGTCGGGGTGTCCCTGGTTCTCACCTGCCAGTGCCCGTGCTGCCGGGTGCCGAGAACACCCCCTCCCTCTGCCCCCCACCTCCCCCTCCCATCCAAGCATCCTGGAGGTGGTGAGGGGGTATCGTTGCTCCAGAACGACGACTGTGGAGACAAAACTCATCGGGCTGGGGGCTG